ACACTAAAGTGGATCTTCTCTTATCTTATACTTTACTTATAAAGTATCCTCTCTTATGCAGGAAGGCTGTCCTGCCCAGATTGTCTTCCAAAATACTCTGGAATTGCTGGATATATTAAAATGTGATTTTTCCTTGTTTGTGCAGTAAGCCATTGTGTGTTTAGAAGTAGAGTGGGGAGACTAGGGAGGATGATAGTGTTACTGTGGAATATGCTTCTGGATCCCAGCTTGAATCTCTGGTTTAGGCTGTCAGTAATCTTTCTTCTGTCTGATCCAGCACCTAGAGTTACTGTGATGGTGGTATGTGATTGCCTTCTCTTGGATATCTGTTCATCTTAGAACTGTGCAGTGTCCTGTGTCTCTCTGTGTTATGAATGACTTGTAAGTCACTGTCTTCTGGAAGCTGGGTTAAATATGACTAAAATTAGCCTGAATGTTACTGAAGTAAGAATCTGTGACTTCTTCATTCCAGGCTGTGGTCATTCCACTCTGTTCAGGTGGCTTTCGGGCCATGCTTTAAAAATTCTTTCATAGATTGAAAATAAACAAAAATAGTCTTTTGCTGAGATGCTGAGAATTTAGAAAGACTCATATAATAAATTCAGGTGAACTGAAAAATTTATGCTCAAAGATGCAAGGGGTAACCAGGAGCTTGTATCATGGTAGTGTTGGAAATCAGGGAAAACCTCAGCCTTGACTGACTGAGCAAAGATCTTGGTAAAGACACTACAAATACTGAGAGCTAGCAGGGACTGTTTATCAAGGGATAAATCTGTTCTCTTAAGTTGATACAGCTTTATAGTAGAGGGCAAAAATTTCAAGGTAGGAGGACAATCCTTGAAAGTTATGCTGAGTTAGACATTTTAAGGGGAATGAAATACAGTCTCCAGCTCATTTCAGTAGAAGGAAAACAAACAGTAAAGATAAGTTGTCATGGAATGAGAGTGATTTCAGGCTTGAAGGTAATTTAGATGTCATTCAAAGAATAATGAGTATTGTTTGTTTCTTTTTTTAATTGGTTGGGTGTTACGGAAAATTTTAAATAATCCAAATCAAAACAACTCAGCTCACCACTGATGGTGATCCTCATGTAATATCTCACATGAGACAGGGCAACTCAGTGAGCAGGAGGCACATATTCTTCTTCCTCAGAGTATTGTAGGAACTGAGTTACGAAATTAAACAATCTGGACGCCAGGTTTTGTAATCAGTGAAATCAGGAAGGGACGAGCTAATTGAAGAAAAACAAATCTGAGTGTTCAGAGGGCGCATGAGAAACAAATGGCTTATTTGAGCAAGTGTCTTTCAAAACCCAAGTGTTACCTGAGGGCATTTTGAGATTCAGTTACTTCAAAGCACTTTAAAAATAATTTTTATAAAACCAAGGAGTAATGCTGTTGTAAAATTTGTAAAAAAATTGCAAATGGTGCTAAAAGAACGTATAAATAATTGAATATAATTATGAAAGAAATCTGACATGTATGTAATGACATAGAATGCCTGCCATTTGAGTAATCTGAGGTATTAACTGTTTTAAATACTGGGGGTTGCTTTGCTTTTAGCATGCGACTTAATTTATAAATTTTTCCTTGTTTTTTAATGACTTGCAACATATGGATTATATAAACCATGTGCACAGTTGTATTGGTAATCTCTAAATTTGGATTTTAAAGGTGCCTCAACATGTCAGATAGTTGTGCTTATAAATGCTATTGAACTTTGCTTTCCTAAAGATTTGCCCAAGTGTCTGCATATTCCTAAAGAGTGTTAACATTTTTTCTTATTTTCTTTTTCTTTTCCTCTTTTTCTTTAATAAAAGTTCGTTATGATATGGTTGATTTCAGCTGAATGTTGTGAAGGAATGAGAGATGGTTGTGCTTGTTTCCATTTTCCATCAGTAAGTGTAGTATATGTTGTCTAATTCCACCGAATTTTGATGGAGGGATAGTCCTTGAAGTCATACACTTTGTAAAAACTTAAGACATGGTTAAGGAGGGAGGATGGAGTAAGGAGAGACAAAAATGTTGTACACATGACAGCAGAATTGGCAGAAAGCCTGTGGTATTTTTAGCCTGCTGTGTAACCTGTCTGACTGTACGTTGGTCAGCCAATTAGTACATTCATTTAATCAAACCATCCTTGGTGTGCAGTGCCTCTTGTGGAATCTGTAGTTCAGGGCTATAGGTAAGGATTGAGGATACTGGAGGAGAAGCTGAGGTTATTGTGGTTGCATGATGAATACTTGTAGGCATTACATCATGAAAATAATCAGGCCTGGCTGGTGCCTCAAGTTGTGCTTGGGTCTGAGTCTCGTGTTCTTTTCTGCTTTCTTTCTCGTTTCCTTTTCAATAGCCTAGCTCAAATCTTGCAGTAGACTATGTAGCTGTGGTTTAGGGATGGTGTTGGAATTGCGTATATTCTTTCCATGGTTAGGACACAATAAATAAATTCTGAATTTTTTAGATCTATGGGGCTTAACATTTGTGAATAAAGACCAAATTAAAAAGGAAAAAGGACTTGAGAATGGTGTTCCACAAACTGAGGTATCCTGAAACCAGTGGACTGATTTTTTTATAATTACATTTTTTATGTTGGAGAGTCAAAGTGCAATTTTGTGAATTCTATAGTTAATGCTAGAAAATACCTTTTTCTGTCTGTTTATTAATACTGAGCAGGGTTTTTTTTTTTTTTTTTCAATGCATCTGTTAGCATCTTCATGGAGATTATTAATTTTCCAAGGAAGTACCTACTGGATGTCCTGATGTGCTCTCCTTCCATTCTGTCTGCTACTGACATCCACTGCTAAGTCTTGGCCAGTGCATTTATTGTAAGAATTTAATTTTCATCACAGTGTCCTCCCAGCTGACTTGAGTGAAGTATAGCCCAGGGGGAGCCATGAACTGCTGCAGTGACATCAGATTTCTTAATCTTTCTGCACTTTAATAATACTTTTCTGAAATGTGTGGAACTGATAGGGACAGCAAAATGGTATCCAGAAATAATATCTGGTATTTTTTCCATGTAATAACATAATGACATCACTTGTAGAAGAGCTCTGTAGTCTGCTCTTGCCTGCTTTCAGCCCTACACATTATTTAGCTTCGTTGCCTGTAAAACAGTTAGAAAAATTAAATTTAAGCTTTTTAAATTTTTTTTTTTGTAGGTGTGAGCTCTATTCTTTTACACGTATTTCTCTTTCAATTAGCAGGAGCAATTTTCTTTGGAATGGTGTATGTGTGTTCTTGTTTCTGTTTTTTTTCCCGTTTTTCTTCTGGGAGTGGGATAGTAAAGAGAAGGGAAAGCATAAATTTACGTTTATCTACAACTTGCTGGAGACATTACAGAAATAAATTTGTTAATTTGATTTGACATTAACTTATAAGATACTAATCTTTCCATGTTGCACTTCTTATACTTGGAGGGAGCAAGGCTTCACAGTTACAAGGGCTGTGTTCTTGAAACAAAAAAGTTATTTTGTTCCAGTGTTCATGTCCTTCTTACAATATCCTGGAAATAGCTGAGTGGGTAGCATCTAGTTATCCAGCTTTTAGACTACATTAAGACTTTCCTTCAGCAGAAAGATTAGCTGGATTGCATTATTGCCTAAACCATTATGCTTAAAGCAGTCTTGACACTTGATAAAGTAATGTCTAAATTTGTTTTCAGAGGGCTGTTCATGCATGGATTTCTTAATCCTTAGTTCAAGCTTCATTTTGGAAACGAGTTTGGCAGAATTTACCCATGGTTAGTTTTAGTAGAATCCTCAGCCCATCTCTAAATCTACAACATCTACTTGCTATTCAGTGGACAACGTTTGGGAAGAATGTCTCCCTCTCACAACCAAGCTTATGGATTAGACAGGATGTCCTCCTTTCTCGTCATCAGCACTAGCAATATGAAGCTTTCTCTGTTTGGAATTTCTCTTAATCATTGACCAAAAACTCTGGCCAGTTTTGAGACTCCTGGGGACATCAGATGAAGATGATAATGCTATAAGAATGAAAAAAGGATAGAATCTGTCTCATGGTGCATTCAAAGTGTACGTCCATGGAGTCGTAAGAGCACACAGGCTGAAGAGACCTTGGGAGGCCCTGAGGTTGCTTGAGGACTTTTCTAGTTAAGTTTCAAGGTCTCCAGGGCTGGGGAGTCCACAATATTTTTTGGCAACCTCCTTCAATATTCATCCACCCTCATATGAAAATATTTTCTTTTGGTCTAACCAGACTTTCTCATACTTGAGCTTGTCTGTTGCCTCTTGTTTTAGCCCTGGGTTCCTTTGAGACAAACCTGGTTTGTTACATCTTCCTGTTAGCTAATTGCAGAATTTCTGTAGATAAAAAAGTTTGAGGGCATTTAGTGTTTGAGTCATTAAATAAGCTATTTATAATATCTGGGACATATATTAAACTGAACAAGTTTATTTTTTAGATTGAGCCTGTTTTCTGCTATAGGCAGTTTTTAAGGTAATATACCAATTCCATAAAATACGTCAGGAATGTGTTTTTCTCCCAGCAGAGGGTGAACATTTTTTGAGGACTCACAGTTATTTAATTGGAGTAGAAAACCTTTAAAAATATGTCACCACTTCACAGAGACTGTGTAAAGTGTGTATTTGGATTACTTTAGTGATACTTCGACTGTAATACTGTGATTGTCCAATTGTCTTGAAGACAAAACTGTAGATATATGACATCTTAAAAGTTTTGATATCTGGCAGACAATGTTTCTGACAATTATGGCCAACAGTAACAAGGTAATAAAATTCATCCTATACTTCCCATTTCATATTGCTTGATGTATTTCCTGGTATAAATATTGTAATGGATGGAACAAGGTCAAAGGAAATCTTTGTGGTATTGTTCATAAATTTTAAGAGGCTTTGTTTTACTGTTTCAGTGGGCATGCCTCATTTTCCGTTTTTCTTTTTCTTTACAGTGTGCAAAAAGTGCCTAACTGAATTAAAGTTTGTCCCCCATTTTTTTTCTTCCCTTTTCCCTCAGGTTGCAGCTATTCTCAGGAAACGAAAACTTGACTATTATTTGTACAAACTGCTGCCTGAGATCTTGCAGTCAACTTCGTTTCTGACGGCAAATGGGACCTTATATATTGCTTGCTTTTGCATTCTAAGGTTGGTATACGATCCTAAAAATGAAACCCAGTAAAGCTGTTTTTTGTGCAACTTTTCAGTTTGTATAATAATTAGTCTCTTTTCGTAATTGGCTTGTTGGTAATGTTTTGAAATAAGAAAAGTTCCTGTAATCATCTTGATTTCTGGTTTTACCAAGTGAATATGAAACTTCACTTTAAAAAATTACTTTATTCTCATTTTTGCAATCTTTTAAATGAGTAAACAAGTCAAGGTATTGACTTTGCTGCTTTTTCTCTGTTTTATGAATTCAAAATACATTGTTGCAGGAAATTCAAATAGATTCCAGAGGGGAAATAAAAAGGCTTATTCTTTCTTTCCTAGAAATAATTGATTTAATTTGATATTGCTTTCTATTTTCCTGATGCAGAGGCTGTGATAACTTTTAATTATGCTGCACTTTACCTAGCCATCTAAGTTTGTACTTTTCCGTATGGTCATAAATGAAGGAAATCCCAGCACAGCCTCTGGGATTCTGTGAGATACAGACTCGCTCTGAAAAAGGAGCATAAAAGGCACCTCTGTATTCCGTTTCCAGCACGTATTTCAAGTAACTATCAGGATAGTTAAAAATTAGAAGTTGCTTTTTCTTAATATGATTATGCATTTATTGTAAGAGATGTTACATATAGACATGTAAAGCCTACAGTGACTATGAACGTTTGGAAGTTATTTGACAGCACACTCGCCAGCCCCTCTAAAAGATAAATCCCTTATGTCCTACTTCTAAATCTGTTTAGAGACCTCTAAACTTACCTTCAAAGCTGAAGGAGAAGGCAGAGAAGAGGAGCTGGCTGAGGAGCCATAGAATGCTTTTCAAGTAAATAATTCTCAAAGTTCAAAGTGAATCTATAAGCAATGAGCTCTAAAGAATATGATATTTTCTAGCAATCTAGGTTGTATTAATATTGATTTATTTTTATTCCTCTGAACTACAGAGTGCTCTTCCTTATTCTGCCATGTATTCACCTGTAAATATGCAGTGCTTTACTCCAGTGCTATAGTTAAGTGTTATTCTCTAAATTAAGCCAGTATGGCTTTAAATTTTGTGGTTTTCAGCAGTTCCTCTTACAGAGGATATTGGCCATCTAGCAGATTTGTGACTGTGCTGTTAGTGAAGTAGGTAAGGGATTAATGTCTTAGTCTGAAGCCAGCTGGCATGGCATCACTTTCACCTATGTGCAGAATGGCTGTCTAAAGCTGTTCTGACCTCCAGAGTCTCCTTGAAGCATTGTTTGGGTTCACCTAGGTCAGAACCACGTAAAGGACAGTTCAGTGATTAAATGTGACAAGGGACACATGTAAGTGCTTACCGTGCCATTCATACAGCTGTGCTGCGCAGTAACCAGCCAGCATCTTGGAAGGTGTATGTGTGTTTTCTCTAGCAAAGAGATGCCCATGAGGAGTAAACAGTTGCAGCAGAATCCTTGCTGGCAGAGTCTCTACACACTGCCCACCACCTGCAATTGCAGGACTTGTAACTAAAAAGTTATTGGCTAGAGTGTTGATTGAAACTGGTGAACTGAAATCACTAGTAGAGGCAAACAATTGTTTAAGGCAGCCATGGTAATGGTGCCTGGTGAAGTACATCAATGTCCAGTTATAGTGAGAATTTTGTGGTTTTTCTGTCCAAAATGAAATCCAGAGCCTCAGCAATTAAGTGATTAGGATATGTAAGAGCTATTAAATGACATTTCAGAAAACAATGGATAACATGATTGTCAGAGAAGAAATACTTTCCAAACTTCTATCCTTTGAAGAATGAGTACATACCTGGAGATGATCTACTTGGTGCATGTTCCATAAATTCCCTAGTGCCTGTGACAGGAGTGCTTGCTAGGACTTGTCAAGAAGAGAGATCCTCTGTGTTCCAGGAATTAGTAAATGATTAGCAAGTTAGAAGTTCCCAGTGAAGTTCCTGTTATGTCTTTTGTTTTGGATATACCTAAGGAATCTAGAAAAGGGGCTGAACACGAGTTTGAGAGATTGTGTAAGATTATTTAGGGTACAGAAATCTAAAACTGGCTCTCATGCATTTCAGAAAGATCTGTTCATTAAAATCGCGTATGAAATTTGATAGAGAAAAGTGCAAAGTAAAAATGCAGTTCTGTCCTTACTCAGGGATGGGCTTTAAACTAGCTGCTGTTTCTCAGGAAGTTGTTTGAGGATCATTATGGGTAGGTTCTTTGAACAAGTCACTTCAGCACTTGAATACGGTCAAGGAGCTGAGTGAGTGGTGTTTAGAGAAAAAACGAGACTGCAGCAGGAAGTTGAATGAATACATGACACCTTTACACCTTTTGAGTTTTGTATGCTTTTTTAAGAGTTTCTCCTAAGATCATAATGTTGAAAAGTCATTCACTTGAAATGTACTTCATATCTTGTATTTAGTATGCTTGTCTTGCACCTTGAGCCATATAAGCTTACTTCTTTCACCTGCTCTTGGGTGGTTGATAGAGAATGGAAATGCAAGACTTCAGTCCTTTATTTTTAACCAATTTGTGTCTTTTTTAGTATTAATTTTTTTTAATGTTTTGATTAAAGTTGTATTATTCTTTGAATTTACTGCCCATGATACAGTGTATTTCCTTCAGTAGCCCTTGAGAGTGAGAATAATGGTGTGTGATTACCTAGGCCAGAAACATTTTAAACCATCAAAGAAATATCGGTACCTCTGTTTCTGCATAACTGGCCTGAGTATTTCTGGACTTGATATGTGACCATGAAAAGAGGTTGAGACTGTGAAGACCTAGATGTTCTCCATCTGGTTCTAGATCGTGATGAGAGATTGGATGTGATAGATTTGTACAGTAGGATATATGCTGCAGGTTTTATATCTGTTTTTGCATGAAAGGTATAGTATAACAGCAGCAGAAACTCAGAAGCAGAATTGTCGAGCAAGCCCCATGCAGCTGATTGTTCTTACCCTCCTGGAGTTCTAGACCAAAGCAATGGAGTAAGGGTGTATAGCTGGACAAGTTCACTCATATTTATTGTAGTTTCTTCCTTTCAGCTAGGAAAAACTACCAAAATTGAAAAGGATGCAAATATTCTCAAGGATGTAAAACTTTAGGCAACAATGTGGAATTAAAATAATTTCAGGCATTGTTTAATACTCTCATCATTTTACAGGTGGGTAAAATTTGAAAAATATCTAAATCAAATGTCAGCAATGACTTAGGCAGTGGGTAGATGTTCTTGTTTTAGAAGATATTACCAAGCTAACTTGACTGACTTTTTGTTTTAGCTCCGACTTTTTTTGTGTGGTGAATTAGGGTCTATGTACAGGCTGCTGTGTTGGCAGAGCAGTAGGGGTGATGATCTCTGTTACGGATGTGTGAGAGTCCAGATGGGGATTGTAATCTCTTCTGCTGGTGAGAACCAGAAGACTACATCTGTCTGGGTTTCAGATGGAAGTGCTGGGTTCCTGTGTTGACAGGCATCACATCTGTTAAATTAAAGGTGTGATTTTTAGGTTTAGGGTTCAATTACATGTAAAACCTCATGAAGACATGGTTCTGTTAGTCTATCAACTAGAGTAATTAAGTTTGTCCGTGTACAGCTTGTAGATTGAAGAATTAGATGCATGACCCGGAAGAACTCCTAGTTCTTACTCCAGTTTTTATCCATAGAACATGTGAAAATAACCATGCAAGTAATAACTAAAATAATTTTCATTTACTTTAGAAGTTTAAATATTTCAGTTAGTGACCGTACATTTTTATTTCCACTGGACTTTCTTATGTAAAATGCGTTACTGTTGTTTCCGAAATCTTGTCAAACCAAACATGCAAGCATTTGTAAAAGGATTCTAAGCCATGCCAAAAGAACAAATTACTGTTTCTTTCCCACAGAAAAGGCATTTGTTCTGTTACTTAACAGGTGTGTCTGGTAAGATGTGTTCATACTTATTAAGATGCTTAAAATGACTTCTCTGAAACTTCATACAGTAATTACTTTCTGAGAGAATCCTAATAATGAACTTTAGCTCTTGCAGCATTTGGCATTGTCATCCTGAGAAATTATCCTTTTGCAGCCGTGGGAATGAGCAGTGTGTGTAATTGCCATTACATCACTTGCTGCTGATACACTGGCTCTCTTTTCACTTACGAACATAAGCTGGCGTTGCTCACTGGTAATGTTATTTTTGCAGAAGTATGAAATGAGGCTGCTCATGCCTTTGACAGCAAGAATGAAAATGAGCTAATCAGACGGTGTTGATTTATCATCTTTGTTCTCTCTTCTGTGTTGTCAACATGAAATTTTGTCTAAGAAAATGTCCTCTTCTACTGTGTATATGTTTACCATTTTGTTTGTATATTTTTTTTGCTGTGTTTTTAGAAGGGTAGGCTCCATTGTAATGCTTTGTTTTCCCACTGATAATGCTTGTCAGCTGAGCAGCACTGGTAAAATAGAAGTATGTTTATTGTCATGCTACCAAATGTCATGACTCTGACTCGTTTCCCCCTGTGATCAGCCTGAATAAGTTTGAAGGTGCAGATCTCCTGAATAGACCAAACATGGTGGGTGACATTGTGTCTGACATGCAGTTTGGCTTTCTTCCTTTAATAGTGACCAATTTATAGAAAGATTTTCTTTGATATTGCCATTTGTGTAACTCTTTTATTTTCAAGTTGTATTGTTGAAGGAATTTTGATAGTTGAAATTGTGTGGACTCTAAAAGAAATCCAGATCTAGCTGCCAGAAATTAGAGCTTATCCAGCTTAATAGGACTGGGAATTCTTTGTTGCTTCCACTTGTACAGACTGATTCCTTGTCTTACTGTAAGTGTTTATTTTCCTGTTTTTAGCATCAGTGGATTGTCTGTTTGGAATGTGGCATGTATGATAATTATTTGATTTGATTTCTCTCTCACCCGATGGCATTGCTATATTCCACAAGGCAGATCTTCCTGAAAATCCTACTTGTATTTGGACAAGTAGCAAAGAGATAAGTGGCTATAAGGTCTTTTAGAAGATTCTCTTGTTATTATTATCTGCAACTTTTCAAAAATATATCTTGGAAGACACTGATTTCCTGGAAGAAATGTAGCCATTTAAATGAAGTGATTACATTAATGGAGTGTTTCAGGCATTTAATGTTTATGAAGCCCTTTGGGAATTCCTCTGAGAATTATCCAGCTGTAAAATACAATGATTCGTGTTTATTAGTAAGTACAGATTAAGAAGACAAAATTAATAAATCATTCATAATTTTATAATGCAGATAAAATATGGTATGGTGCATGAATGTTCCATTTGCATGTAATATATGTATAAATTACTTTTTCAGGAAGATACTTGGAAAATTCTACTTTTGGTCTCCTGGCTTTGGTGCAGCTTTACCTGCTTCTTACATGGCTATTCTCATTGAAAGGAAGAGCAGGTAGGGTTTGTGTTTATGGATTTTCAGCTTAATATAATAATGTTTCTTGTTTTGGTCGCTTGATGACTGACATTTGACAATTCAGTGGGCATATTTCAGACTGCTAGAAATATAGTTCATCTGAAATAGTGTTTTGCAGCCTTCAGTTTAAATCTAGAAAGCTACAGTGAAAAAACACTTTACGAACATTCAGTTTCATGTTTGTGGTTTGTCTTGTTTAATGTGCAATTGTGTTTCTCAGGATTGCCTGATAAAGCCTGGTTGCTTAGGGCTTCCTAATGAAACTATGGTTTTGTTCATGTTTATTTTTTAATCAATAATTGGAGCAATGTTTGCAGTTAGTCTCAGAGAAGGAGGATGCCAATGACTTAATAACATGACATTAGTTAGGACAGAGGAATTGTAGGATGTTGTGGAGAAAACGATGAGCGAGTTGAAATAATTCAGATTGGATGAAATGTAATGGTACAGAAAGCAAAGCCTTTCACTTAAGGAGAGGTGCTGAAGTTCATCTATCAGAGGTAAGTTCATTATGAAAGCATTAAGAGAGAGAAGAAAGCTCTAAGTAATCCACGGATAGCCCAAAGCTGCTGTTTTAATGTGCCCAGGAAGATGGCAGGTGAAATCCTGTCTTGTAAGGTTTTATTGTTTGAAATTCAACTAATGTGTGTGGCTTGTATAAATAGTGTCAGTTACAATACTTTATTTACTATGGAGTGAAATGCTTTAGGCATCTAGTTAGTAAGTTTAATTTAAGGAAGAGAAGGTAAGACAACGGTAAAGTAAAGGATTACTCCTTTTAAACAGATGATTAAGGAGGTACTAGAGGTGGTATGAATGCACTTTTGATTACTGTGAATGTCTGAAACTTCCTTAAGCAGTCATTTAAAATTATGGAAAATACGTATCATTATGTTGTTCACTCACTGTCAAGCCCCCTTCCTGAACTTCAGCTGTGGAGTAAGCAAATCCCATGCCAAATTTTATGTATGTTAAAGTTCTGTCCTTTTAAAAGAATGCATTAGCCATTGTTTTTGAAGATTTAGGATGTGTAAGAGCTTCTGGAAACATGGGAGCACTTTTAAATCACTTTCCTTAATGTAACTAGAGAAAATCATTGTAATCAAATTACCAAATAAGTTAATTATCTTTTTCATGTCCTCTCTAGCTGACTGATTTTCTTCTTACTGTAATTAGCTTCTAAGAAGTTGGATATATTTTAGTAGAACTTTGTCTAGTTACTTAGACTCTAGCAGTGCTGTTGGCATCAAAGTATCATTTAGGGTGAGAGCAAATGCATTTTCTCCTCTGGATCAGTGATAACACTGGCTTAACTTTTCCTACAGACTTGTTACAATGTGAGGCTTTTCTGTGTCAAACTTCAAATATTTCTAGATAACATTAAAGAGGAAGAAATCAGGCTGGTTGTCGATCTGTGACCTTCTTGTCACTTTCAGAATATTTGTGAGTGGACAGCTGAAACTGCGTATGAACCCAAACCTGTACAAGATTTTTGTATAACAGCAAAACAGCTGTGAGAAAGTTGTAAAGCTATACATGTTAAATGTACAAAAAGAGTAGGCAAAAAAAATTAGATTAAAATTTATACTGTATGGGTTTTTCTAGACTTGCTTATGGCAACATATGAAAGCTCTGACATGTTAACAGGTTTCTGTTTAACATCTGAAATTTGAAAGAAATGGAAGTTGAAATAGAGTATGTGGAAATGACAAAAGTAGATTGGTACAGCATGTATGCAATGAATAACGCTGGAATATTTAATTCCTATAGGGTTATTCCCCTTTCTGTCAGAAGCCATTTTGTGTGACCTAAGATATTTTGCCTAAAAATTCACATTATGTTGGATCAGTTAAAGGCAATAAAGAATTGTTGGTATTACAGTATAACACATGTATGAAAATGTGGGGTCATTGTTCTTAACGAAAAAAATTGCTAAATGATGTCAAAAGGTATTTGAAAGTTAAGGGTTTTTTTTTAAATACGAAGTTGTTTGGTATGTTCTCAGATGGCAACTATGTATAATGTGCAAAATGCTGCTGCTGACAGTGAAATACGACTTTCTGATTTCACATCTGTTTGCCTGTTAGCTTCTGTTACAGGCAAAATCAAATTTTGATAGACTCACAGTCCCTTAGGAAATTGACGTTTCACATGGAGACACAGGGCCGTTTTCAGTTATCTGCTAAGCAGCTTAAAGCAAATTGTAGTGAAAAATCAGGGAAGTGGGAAAAAGTCCTGATTTGAGTTCATAAACCTATCTCTAGTCCTTCAAATTGCTACTAGCAGCTGGCAGCAACATTGAACTTAATCACTTAATCTCTTCCCAAGTGGATACCCTATTTTAAGTACCTCACTGGCATTTGCTTGGACAGTGTCCCTGTCAGTCCTGAACTTGGGAACAGCAGGCTTATAAATCAGATTTTCTTCCAAGTGTTCCTGTTCATGTGTGCCAGCCTTGTAGTGTGTAATTCATATGGAAGAATGAGAAAAAGAGATTAATAGCTTGCTAGCCAAACCACTATGCACCATTATAATCCTGAGGAGGAACATGTTTTCTAATGTGTTACAGAATTAATTTGATTGTAGTTTCTATCTGTGTAATACATAAAGATTTGCAGGACACTGGCAATGAGCAGGGGAGGTGACATTGCATGGAAACGTCAAACAGACTCAGGAAATGCTCTGCACTATATTATGCTCCTACAGGTCTATAAAGATATAAATGGCACATTAATGTCCATGTGTGTTCTGTTTGGTAACCATAAAATATAACTGTCCTGTCTATGAAAACTAATTTATCAGGATCTGTGGAAAGGGCCAAAGAATAAAAACACTTCTTAGCTTTTTTATGTATGTATCCATAAATATTCTGTGAGATTATTGGAAGAGAACTGGTCACATTATTATGATTAAGTAATGTTTTGATAAAAAATATTTCTTAGATAAGAATTGGATGTGATACATAAACATGGAGATTATGGATCTGCAGATTGCAGAAACACATATTCTATGCCTTGTCCCTTACTCCAGTAGGAGGAACTAAAAATTTTTCCCTTTTTTCTGGTGCTCTCAAACTTTGTGGATTGCCTGTTAGGGTTAGGAGGAAGCATTTTTACTGGCTCTAATTTGTTTTAATTGTCAATATTTTAGTCATTCTTTATGTTTATATTGTCATAATAGTTAATGGCTATATAATAATAAATAAGAAAGCTTCTAATAGGTGCAGTTGCATGATTTTACTTAAAAGAATATAATGTTCTTTGCAGTTTCACCTGTTTTGCATCTTCTATTAAAGAAAAATGTGCAATTGTTTTGTCATAGAATTCAGTTTTGTAATGTTAGACATTAAAAGCTGTGTTAATGTCTCCTCAAAAATAGAGATGACTCAGTTCCATTAATTGCATTGAGCTTCCTTAGGAAATCATTGCATTCTTTTTATTAACCTTTGTATGGAGTTGTTTAACCATACGATCCTTGTTAGCTCCTACAGGTGTTGTTTCCAACTGGTGATAAGAAGCAATTTTAATAATAATTTTTTAAAAAGAATATTTTGCTTAAATCTTTTGGCTTCTGTTTGTAATTCCAAGTTACGGTCTTCTGTCATTTCTTTCAACATCTATTAAATGTTATCACCAAGAATTGAACATGTAGTAAGGAGGAGATATGCGGCTTGGACCAAAAGATATGACGCTGCCTTGTTCTGGAAGTACTGAAGCTGTTAAAAAGCAAGGAAGTAACTGAATATACTTGTTAAATTCTCGTGAATCAAGTGGTTGAAATGTGATTTGAGACTTGGCTGAAGCCAGCCTGTTACTGGAAGTCTGATTAGATAAGTTTTACCTTACTGACTTCTGAGACAAAGAAGTGCCATAGCTTGGTGGAGAGCCTGTATTTAAGACCTCTGTGATTACTTTCTAGGAAAAAAATTGTATCCTTTTAAGTGTTTTGTAAATATGCTGATATTTCATAACCATTTGTGTTTTGCTAGTAGTTGAATGGCAAACTTCATTTTATTGGACTCTTGCCTAAGAAATTATGTATTAATGAATTTCAAGAACGATAAAACTTTAAGAGGGGACACAAGTCCAGTTTTAATTAAATTAATTATCTTGCTGCCTGGCTGTTCTGTTCCCCCCCCCCCCCGCCTTTTGTAACTAATTAAACCAGAGAAAGTTTAACTACAGCCTCCTAAAATTTCTGTGGCATTTGTGAAGGGACACTTCTGGGGTTGCCCCTGCTCCCCCCCTTAGGCTGCATTAATGTTTACATACTGGCTGTTAACATTATAGCGGCGCCTGTCTCGTTGCTACAGTTACGACTCCATCACTGATGGTATTATAAAACTTGAGATTTAGGGCTTTTATAATTTGGTTGTAAAATCTTGCTCTGGGCAACTATTTCTAATATGTTTTCAGTTGAAAACTTTGGGTGTTTTTCATAAAAAAATTCAGTGTACTGGACTCTTAGAAAAATATTTAAAGCACATGCATTTAAAAAATAAAGCAGTGCAACAGTGCGTGTTATAGAAGACATCTATATGTACACACGTATATTTGATGTTCTTGGAAACAAAAGTATTACTATGCATTGCTTGGAAAAGTGACAGAAACATTTGTGTAAGAACAATGTGGAATTTTTACAGTGTATGTTTGTTCTGATGAAACATGCAGTGCTGTTTGGATTATTTGCTTGCCATAAAATGCCATTATTCTAAACACATTATAAAGGAGGAATATGGCAGCACAATAATGGTAAAAAGTATACACTGTGAAGAAATACATGAATTTTGTAACTTTGTAACATTCAAATACAAATTTGTTGATATGCATTTCTTTATAGTAGTATATTATATATGGACCTGAGAGGTGACAGTCTCCTTTCTCAAAAGTATTTTGTGGTTATTCAGTTTGACATATTTTACAGAAACAGGTAAATCACCATTTTGGTGGGGTGAGTAATCAAAACAAGTGAACAAACTC